CATATTACATTTTTCATAATAAAAAAAATAAAATAAAATCAGAGTAGTATGTTAAAACACATTGAGCATCTCAAGAAAAACAAGCACATATCTCCATCACTAGATTCTTCATGGTTGCTTTAAATTATTAGCATGTTTCACTCGGAGTACTTTAAAAAAAAGCATGGATTTTTGTTCGACTCCTTGGGGCTGGCTGTGCCTTTATGTCTGGTCACATACAGTAAAAGATTGTGAGAAACTGCACAGCTCTATTGGCCGCTAAGGACGACTGGAGTACTGGACTGGACTGGACTACTGATTTACTGATTTGAGGTATTTGGTAGAGTCCTTGACTGCATACTGAGGAGATAATCCAGCCAATTGATCAAGGTATTTGGAACCAGAGACGCGCATAAAGATGAAGATCACCAGTTGAGGAAGATCATTAAGGAAGCCTGCTGGTGTTACAGTTGTCAAGCGGTCACTAGCTATGTTTACAAGCACAAAGCTAATGACTAGTTTCTAATGTGTTTAAATAAAAAAATAATCAGCTTTTTTTACATTAAAGAAAACAAGCCCAAAAATGAGAATAAGATGGCAGATCTGACTAAACCTGTGTCATGTAATCATTTATATTGGATTATTGGTATAGCATCTAGCCTTGATCTGCCGATCAGATTGTTAAAATGTATTAGCTGGATTACTATTTCATTCTGATTACACCAAATCTGATAAGAATATTCCAACAATATTTAGATGTCACATCTTAGTCCGGCCGGCCGTTTATTTTAATTACCTCTGTCCTCGTAAACGTAAGCAATCGCTTCATCAACAAGTACAGTTCGCAACGAAAGGTCCTTTTTATGAAGGCTAGATGTTCACAGATAAAAGTGTCAAAGCACGTTAATGGAAAGATCACATTGCTTAAAGAACAATGTGAAGAATTTAGGGTTGTGATGATTCAGGGACCCAATTAGAATAGAATAGAATAGAATAGAATAGAATAGAATAGAATAGAATAGAATAGAATAGAATAGAATAGAATAGAATAGAAAATCCCTTTGCTGTCCCACAATGGGGAAATTATTGTGTCACACAAATGTGGACCTTAAAAAATATCGTTTTCCAACATGGCTTTTTAGCTGACCACACTTAATAGCCATGGCGTCTCTGTGCTAGAGTGGCCAGTAAAAAGGTCCCACCTGAAGCTCCTCACCACAGCCAACAATGCAGATGAGCTGAAGGCCATTATTTAAGAAACCTGATTACCTCTATGCTGCGTAAGTCATGCAAAAGAAGCCTGAGTAACTATTAAAGGCAGATATAATGCTGTGCATTGACATACAATTCAGTTTTCAAATCTTCTTGTATGCTTTCATGTCATATTGAATTTCTAGAAAACCAGAATTTTGATTTTTCAATAGCTATTACCTATAATAAATGCCTAAATTATATAACTTTTTGTGTAACGGATCTAAGTTGGACTGTAATAACAATTTTATGGAGATATTTTAGTTTTGGGATTCAAATGTGTTATTTTTATATCTATGTTAAGATGATTCTAAGTTCCATATTTCTCAGAACTCTTCATAAATGTTTCATTTTCATCCGCTTTTGTCCACTTTGGCGTCATGTTTCTGATGGTTATCTCGCCGAAAGGTCCGACATTGCCCACGGCACAGATTCCAACAAGCTGTCTGACCTTTTCCTCCATAATCTGATCTTAATGCTTTTCAAATGAATATTCCGTTTACTGAATTGCACTGTGACAGTAAGACTTCTGTGAGTCTTTAAATGGCACCTCTTTTTATCTGAGCTTAACATCCCAACCATCAAAACAATACAAACACTTTTGAGCATTTTTTTCCTTTTAAATCGCCTCTAATTACAAAACTATTAGATACAAAATGGGTAGAATAGTTCTAATCTCATTCTTTTCATCTCCTGGTATATTTATTGGAATAAAAATCTAAGTTTAAATACTTTTACTCACAGCATAAACATAAACTTGATTATTTATTTAAAACAGTTGATTTCCTATATGATTATTTGAAATAAGGATTAGTGGAGGGAATCTCCTCTTGGCAGAGACGGTGTTCAAATATGTGCTGTAGAGTTTCAGAGCAGATATATCTAGAAGCCTAATTAGACCCAGCTTTATTCCATGGATAAAGTCTATTTAAGGCTGGTTAAGTCAGATTATTTTGACATTAGCCTTAATGATCCCTGATATGCTGTTGATTTTTGGGGACAGATTTTTGAAGCTGATATCTCTTGTTCTTCCTCCATGTACATGATTAAATAGCACAATAATAATAAACGTTTTTCAACTCTCATTAAAAACAAAAAGGAATCATAATTAACAAATTCAACAAAGCATTAACAATAGATAGCAAATGGAGGGAGGGACAATGTGATTTCATGTGATCTCAAGTCATGGCTGCTGATGAATGATGAATCTGGTGATGCATGCATCAGCTAATGCCCCAAATAAAAAGTGTTATCTCAACCAAAAATATTGTCCAGCCAAAGTATCAGTCTACCTCATTTAGGGTTGATCATCCACCTAGAATAATGTGCTGGGCCAACTTTTTAACTCTTCACCTGTTGGCCATTACACTGCAGTTCCAGAAGTCTACTGTTCATAGATATAGATAGCTTGGTGAGATGGTTAAAAAAAAACATCTAAACTGGTTTAAGGAGCAAGAAAAAAAAGGATAAGACTAATCCTCTGAATTTGGCTATGACTAAAAGCTGTGCTAGATCTCCACCAGTTCAAATAATGCTTACCAATCAGTCAATTATCCAGTAAGATTTATGCCTAAACATTTTAATGCCTTTGGTATGAAATTTTCATACATCTTGTTTTCAATTAAATTATTGTAAAATTACCCTGCTTTAATAGAGAAAAGCGTAAACGATTCTTTAAAAGCCCAAAATAAATGATTCATCATGATAAATTATCACAAGCCTTTAGGTGTGCAAGTCCCCGGTTCGATCCCCACAGCCTGCACTACTATGGGTCTCTGAGCAAGACCCCTAACCCCACACTGCTCCCCTGGTGCTGCACAATGGCAGCCCACTGCTCCCCAAGGAAAGGGTTAAATGAATCTATATTGTGAGATCAATATAGTTCAATTATTATTATTAATAATATTATTAAGTTTGATGTTTCAACAGAATATATATGATTTAGAGAGCCTGTTGTAATTACGAAAAAAATTTTTTATTTTCATCTTAATTCAACATTTTATTGTTTCCTTAGAAGTTAGTAAAATTATTTGAACAATAACAAAAAAAATGTAATTACTGTGGTTAAACAGAGTGTGGCTTATTTTTCAGTTATAAATCCCAGCTGCTATATGAAGACGAGCAGAAACATGGTTTTCGGTTTTACTGCTGAACTTCACCCTTCTTATATAAGCTCTTTATTTCAAACCACATCTCTGTGGCAAATTCTGTACGTGTCTTTAAGCAAACCTTCAACAGCCTTATAGTGAACCCCTTTGGGAATCCATCCTTACATCAAATATGTTTAATCTTGCTCGCTGACAAACATTACCGACGTTTCAGATCTCAACTGATCAGAAGCAAAACATTTAAATTCTACTAAAAGTCCTGAAGAGATGAAGCACGTAGGCTGATGAGAGCAACTTGAGCCCATATTGAAAACGCTCAGCTTCTTTTTCACGGTGCCTGCTGAACTCAGTGTACTCCCCCGCAAAGCAAAACAAACCTCCAGAGTGCTGCAAACTGTTCTGAGGTGTAGAGAGCTACTTGTTGCCCACAAACAGTCTCAACGCACCTTGGACTTGTTTCGTCAGCTCCAGCAGCAGTGATCTATAGAGGACTGAGCGCTTGTATTATTAGATGGAGAAAACCACTCAGCGCAGCAGGTCTAGCTTTGATATTTCTGTAAGAGGGCTCAGTGTGTGGAAGAAAGCGGGTTTTAGAGCGTTTGAAGGTTTCTCTCATCATGTTTAGAAAAGGGTAAGTGTGAAAAATGTCTTCAGGAGTTCTCAAAGCCAACGGATACCCTTTGATGCTTTGTCCTACAGAGAGAGCCACAGAAGGCATGCTGCACTAGAAGAAGAAGCCGATATTCCTTTCTAGTGTCACTCAGTCACTCTGCAGTCTGACTGCGGAGCAAAAACTCTTTACTGTATCATCAGGAGTGTTGGAAATTCACCAGCATGAGCCAAATGTGCCAAAAATTCAATACATAAAGTTACTTATACAGTATTTTTGCGTAACTTCTATACAACTATCAATACAAGCATTAAAGATAATAGATTAATCATTGCTTGGATAATTGATTAAATTCAAATATAAGCAACAACCATAAAGAGCTTTGTAATTATTTCTGTATTTATTTATTTGATTATTTTAAAGTCTGTGACAACCTTAGTGATCCTTTAAACCATGAAATAATTTATGAATGAAATAAAAACTGAAAACAAAGTGTTTTTAATGACTTGGATATTTGATTATGTCATTATATATTTAACAAATAATAAATAAACAAAGACATATGGGATTTTTTTAATCTATGTTTTTTAATTTATGCAGTGTTTCTAATGTTTTTTTAGTCCACATGTAAAAGTTTATTTTGCAAATTGTTCATTCATGGGATCATTATGCTTTTGGCCTTTGAATAAAGAAGAAATTAGAAAGAATTTAAAGAAACACACTTTCTTACACAATTATATAAATTTAAAAATTATTTGACTATGTGTTTATTAATTAGATAAATGATTGATTTTAAGTATTGATACTTCATTTTTTCAGTCTTTCTTTTCAGCATTTTTACCAATTTTCTTATTTATTTATCTCAAATGGAAGGCAATGAAGGCAGAGAAGACTTTAGAAATCCTGCTTGTTTGGAAGGAAACCACAGGGAATAAACTGCTACATGTTAAGAGTTTTCCATCACCTATTTAAATTGTTTCAGTAAAAAATACATTTTTCGGCAGCATGGATTCAGTTTCATGTTTTTTTTTGCTTGTTTGTTTTATCTTCAGGAGCTGGACAAGAAAGGCTACGGTCCAATCACCACCGAGATCCTGGAGGGACAGGAGTTTTTCTACGCTGAGGATTACCATCAGCAGTACCTGAAGAAGGTGCCCAAAGGCTACTGTGGCCTGAAAGGCACCGGGGTTGGTTGCCCTATTGAAGGCAGCAAAGACGAGCTGTGAGGAGGTGAATGATGACAAACACAGGCAGACGATTAAAACTATGAATACAAAAAAGGGGAAATTTCACAGCAACAAAATCTATTAACTGAAAAAACATCCTTAAAAAGTATTTTCTTAATGATAAGTAATATGGAGCAGAAATGCAAACTTTATCAATCATAAATATTTTCACATTTAAAACACTAAATACATAAAATAGCTCTTTGTAAACAAGAAGGAAGTCTACATAGTGACATAATTAACATGTCAATAGAAACCAGTGATACAAAAGAATGGAAATATACTTTCTTATCCAATAAGGGGGGAAATTGAAGTAGACCAGCAGCAAAGTGAAAGGAGAACGCAGATCTGACATCAAATAAAAGGCTTTATAGCAAGGGCACATTTACAACAGAGGGAAAAGTCAACTCAGATTACAGAAATGTGCAACTGAGGATGAATATTAAACAATAATAATAATGTCTATCTTCATTTATACAGACAGATATTTACAAGAAAGGAAAATATGTGCAATGGATCAGAGAGTTAATCTACGAAACAAATAATGACAACTAATATTAATGCTTATTTGCTCTTTATTACATGGAAAACTATATGTTAAACTGTAAAAACCTATAATTTCTGTTAGGAGTGGGTGATATGAAAAGCAATTCAGATTATAATATTTTTTGTTTTTGTCACTTTTTTTTTTTACATTGAAGTCAAAATCCCAATTTTATTACAATTGCACAAAACAGTAAAGAAAAAAAAAGTCAAAGTGCATTTAAGCCTAAGTAATAAACCAAGGGATCAATATTTTGCCATTTGGGACCAAATATAACTGACATTTAGTTAACATGCAGCAGATCTCAGAAAGAAACACGCTCTGATAAAACATCAGCTTTCTGTGATTGAAAAGAATCTTTTCATGATGCAAACATTTCTGCGGTTTTCCCACATCTAATTTGATATTTGACATAACCAAACTGAACTCAAAACAAAGGAAGCCATAAAAGAGTTGCTGTACCATCAGTGTTTACATCTTTAAGATAAAACTTACAGCTTTGATGTAACAGTTTATTTAGGCTTTTATCTGCATCTCATATTTGGACAATCCCTCAGATTGTGACAGCATCTGTCCTTCTCGAGTCTCTTTATTTTGACCCACACAACTTGTCTGACCTAGTTCTGAACTCCTTTAACTCGCCTTAGCTTTAATATTTTGCTGTTAAGCTGCTACCTTGGATATATGATTAGATAAATGATGATGCTGAGAGATTAAATGCATCGTCGTCCTTAGCTTTCTGGCAGAATCTAAAGTTTGCTTATCTAATTTAGAATTGTTCATAATACCAATTTGACTAAAACTTCAGCTTCATATAAACAAAAGCAACCCCGGATCATGATGCTACCACCTCTATGCTCTTTGTAGCTTTTGGAGCGGTGGTCCAGTTTGGTTTCTTCACACCAAACATTACATATTTAAAGGCCTAGAAGTTTTGTTTGGTGTAAATTCTTGTTTCCTTCAGACTTGCTGATTTGACGACTGGTGTGAACCTGAGTCTGAATCCTAACACTCCATCAAATGGTGGTTCTGTCCAGCATTACTTTAAGGGTGTGTACAAAGGAACTAATGCAGTATTTTTTGGTTTTCTGTTTCTTCATCCATAGATTCCCTTTTTTTATTTAAAATGGACAGGATATTTGTCACATCAAAGTAGGAAAAGCTTTTAATAAGATTTATCATGGTCTAATTTTTTTCTTATTTACAAATAGTGACATTTTAATAGAGGTATGAACACTGTATTTAAGAGTACTTTCACCAGGAGAGTACAGGGGACTTAGTTCTTTTGAGTAAGGATTCCCCCAAAAACTATGTTCCTTTATTCATCCTCGTTCAATTTCATGTTGTATTTAAAAACAACAAAAAAAGATAACAGACATAACCAACATCGTGCAGCCTGCATAGCTGTTCATTATGGATGCTATCACAAGAGGCTGTCTATTGAGAGCAGCAGATGAGGCAGCTGGCCTATAGCCTGTTGCTCTGTGCACAGAAGAAGACAGGGAGGAGTTAGAGACTACGGCCTGCTTTTTTAGGTTTACAGACACTAAGAGGTATTGTAAAGATTTAAACACTTTCAGACCGAAAAGATGTTCGTAGATCCTGAAGTTCACTATCCCCCTTGAAGCGGACCACGCTGGTGTGTAGGGGACCAACGTTCACTTCATCTTCTACAGACTATACAAGAAACCACATTCAGATCTTTTCCAAGACTTGAAAACCACTTAATCCAAGAGTTTTCCTTGTTTTACATTTTCATTTTAAAAATGAAATCATCTCTCTGCTTTGGCAGATCTTCAGCATATTCTGAGCCTTAAATATACAAAATCTTCATATCTCCCACGCCTAATTGCAGTATTTTTGTTGTCTAACCATTCAGCATTACTCACATTTATTCATAGCTGCATAAACCTTAAAATTATACGTTATCGTCCAACTTATTAGGTACACCTTGCTGGTTTAACTCTTTATATCTGTGGAACTGGCCTTTTTCACTGTTTAATAAATTCATCTGGTGTCAGAAACATTCCTCTGGGATTTTGGTTCATATTGAGATGACTTGACTTCACCCTGTTGCTGCAGATGTGTTTGCTGCACATCCATGAACTAAAGATTGCAAAGAGGCTCTACTGGACTAAGATTTTGTGACATTGGAGGCCATTGCAGTAACTTGAAATAGAGCCGGGCGAATATTTCATCACAGTTTTTATAATCGCAGAGACACTGAATTTTGGTGACATTAAATTTAGCAAGAGCCAGACATTTACTTTCTCACTCCGGTCCTTTAGATGGTCATAAAGGGAAGAGAAGGTTGAAGACAGAGTGCAGATTCATGCATGAATATGTTGGGTTTTTTTTTTCTTTTTTAACAGTAACAGTAAAGTCCTGCAACAAAGCATGCTTTCAGGGTCAAGAAAACCATTCAACCCTTGAATTAATCATCTACATTATTGTGATTATTGCAAAAAATCACAAAATTGGTTAAAATATAAAAAAAATTTGAGACGTAACAAACTTTTTTTATATTGAAGAAACCAGTTAGAAATGATCTCACCTTTATGGCATGTTGCTATCCTGCTGGAGGGTTAGGGTTACTAACAGGCTCAACTTTGAGGAGATTATCTCCCACTGCATTAAGTTAACACAGCCAAACTGAACCATTGATTAAAGAGAGGCTAGATCTATTATTTCCTGTTCTGAGCTCAGATTCTGATCATACCATCTGCATTTTTGAAGCTGTTATTGAGATTCAACTGAAGACGGAACGTTTTTCCAAGAAGTTATTGTTCAATGTTGTCCAATCTTTGTGATCCTGAGAGAAATATCTTCTCAGTTTTCTGTTTTCAGCTGACAGAAGTGGCGGCAGCTCCGGTCTTGGCAGCTGTAGCCTCAAACATTCAACATGTTTCGTCTTCAAATATGGTATTCTGCATACCTTGGTTGCATAGAGTGCTTATTTGCGCTACCTTTGCCTTTCTGTTATTATCGTCTAACATCAAAAAAACAGTTTCACCCATGAAAGTACCTGTGGTTAGGTATTTCCCCCCATTCTGATGCTTAACTTGTGCTCCAGCAAACCGTCACATCTGGATGAGTAAATGTAATAAGTTACAGAGTCTCTGCCTTTTTTACCAGCTACTTAACAGGTGTACCTAATAAAATGGCCATAATGTGTACTGTCAAATGTTTCTTTTACATAACTGTGTTGTTATTCATGTAATAACTCAATTAATAAACCTGCAAAGACATATTTAGTGCTTTAGCCATAACATAAGAATAAGCAGCAAAGGATTTTATAGACATATGTAGCTTAAAAGTTATCACACAAAAAAATTGATTCAAGGATTAAAAAATTGCATAAAAGAAAAAGTGAACTCATTAAGGGTAAAAAGGGGAAAAAATGGGCTTTGCAGTTCCAGTCAGTGTCCACAAGGTGGTGGTATTTCTTAAACATGAGTAACTTCCAGTTGCCTTTTTCATGTTTAAAATCATTTAAAACAAAATACTTTATTTTGAAAGTTAAGAAACTAAAAAAAAAAAGAAAAGAAAAATTGGAGGAAAAATTCTGTGCTTTGAATTTGGTAGATTTATAATTACTGTTAAAATTATACTTTTTTATTAAAAGAGAATAATTGTTTTTTATTCATTTTTCATTTGTATTTTTTTTACATTTTGTAAAAATTTGAATAAAAAAATGTAAACCATCTTTTCCCATTTCAATTTAGAAAATAATAAAACCAATATTTTCATTCATTTGTATGTTGCATCTGTTTGCCGCTAATTTATGCACACGCCTGCCCACAGTATTTTGCTATATTTGTAAACTGTTCTGCCCCAACTGAGAAGGGACGCGCCACAGCAGCGAGGGACACATGGCCGTGACTCAGAAACACGTTTAAATTGGACTCATTCTGGAAAGCGGAATGAGAAACTCCGAGCCCGTATGTTCTCTGTCTGGTACAGTTTTTGCTGAAACGTTCTTGCAAAACCACAATTAGGATTAAAAAAAAATTCTCTTATCGTTATTATCATTCAGAAGACAAGCAAGAAATCCCGGAAGCCGTTCTGTGCGGCGTGTTTTTTAAAATTAAACACTGCTGTGAAAGTGCAGTTAAAAATGAAATCACACTCATGGTTAGAATCCAAAATACAGAGATGATATCTAGAAAAGGCTTTCTGGTCGACCGCAGTAGTGTGATTCACCCCGCTCTTGTTTTCCCCCTCCCTCTCTGCTATCTCTCTGTCTGTGTGTATGTGTCACATCCTGACACCTGTGTGTAGGTGTGGACCCGGGCACAGGTGCAGGTGCAACCTCCCCGGGCCTATTTTAGTATTGGGGCAGATATTTTTGCATGTGTCTGCATGCAGGAGTCGTGCGTGTGCGCGTGCTTGTGTGTGTCGAGGCATGTGGAGCTGCGGCTTGCTTGATCGAACTGCTCTAAGTGGTGTGTGGTTTGGCCAACAAGCTGTTTTCCAGAGCCTGCTTATACTTTGCATTTCAGTTTGATTTTTTTTTTCTTTTTTTAACACTAGAGATAACCTTTTAATAAGATGAGCTTGAGCTCCTTGGGTTTGATGGTGAGAGCTCTAATCATACTCTTGGATCAGTTTCTCTGCCACCTGCTTCAGTGGCCTCAGTGAGCCACTGTTTATTTCCACCACACAGTGTTCAGAATGAGTAGAGATATGCAGGGAGAATATCATGCAAAAACGAGTCACATTTAAAAGTAGCTGCAGGAGTGTGGGGCTTCTTTGTGATAGGTTCGAAAGGGGCTTGGAAATGCATGGTACAAACATATAGGCATCTATACACAGACACAGTGAGCAAAGGCAGGACAGGAACCAGGCTGTGTATGCCCATCAAACAGAGCCTATTGTCTGCAGATGGGATTATAATGGCCCCACAGCTGGCTACAAAGTGTCCCTCTCCGGCTTGCTCCTCAGTCCCTAAATCATCCTGCGAAGAGAAGCATTTTCAAATGACTCTCTCCTTAGGTAATAGGTTGGAAATAATCCTCCCAATGGTCTGAAAGAAAGAACATTTTGGTGAAAACAGGTGGTGCTGTGGAAAAATCGGGCCTACACTCAGACACTAAGGTGTTGGTTGTTTATCAGACGTTCTCTGCACTTTTACCCACACGTGCACATGCAGTCATGTAAACACACGTCTCAACCACCACCTCGAACGTCGTCCTGTACCGACGCCTAATGCAAAAGGGAGCGCCCACGCAAAACAAGCAAAGACACCAAAAAGACACCTTGCACAGGCGTGCACCCACGCAAATTTCTTGCACTGATATGCTCTCTATTGTGTCCTCCTTTTCACAGCCTTTTCTATTTAACTCATCTTTGACAGCATCAATAGATCTCAAGTTATTTATATGCAGTATTTATATACATCTTTCTATTTATTCTTTTGGCTTTTCCTCTTTATGTGTTTTGCACAACGTAATTTGCAGGCAAAGACACTAACACAGCATTGTTTGGTTGGATGTATAACAGAACAATAGTAGTGCTCTCTTACCAGCTGGCGAACAGCTCAGCCTTCTTGTTCTGCTCCTCACATAATTGTTTCATCCAAACTGGTCAGCTCTAGCAGGTCGATTGTACATGTTTTTTGTAGCTTTCATATTTAATTACTCATACATTTATTTCATGATGGTATGTAAAGCTATATGTGGGGTTTTTTAAGATGCCAGATGTGTTTGCGTCCCCTCCCATACTCTCCCATCCCCTCCCTCTGGTTCCTGCAGAGGCACACGGTCTCAATCAGAGCATCGGGGCTCCAGGAACCAGAGCACAGCAGTGTCTCTGTGCGGCCCAGAGAAGTGCAGCCTTGTCTGGGCTCCTGCATCTGTGGTTTAGGGGGCAAGCTGGGGAGAGAAGGCAAACCCTGGTTCCTCTGCAAGCTGGATCACTGGAGCTCTGATCTGTTGGTGAAGATTTAACTCAGTGGGAGTAAGGAAAAGCTAACGCTCTGTAGTTAGCTATGTCAAAGTTTGGTACAAACTTTGAATAAAAAGCTTTCTAAAAGCAGGTTCTTGTGGTGAGCTCACACACGTTCATACACACAATAGTAAATCCACTCAGGAAATGTAAAAAAGTTGTTTCTCTCTCCCTCTGGGAGTGGAGCTGCAGAGGGTGGAGGGCAGCACGTGCTGCAGGGCTCAGTTGACTACTAACTGGCCCACAGGCTTTCTGGCTGATGGCCCATTGTGTGACATGCTGCACCTGTGAGCCTGTGTGTTGTCAGCCATGCTAGCTAACTCAAGCTACCACCGCATGACACACAGGAAACCCAGAAATAACTGCTGAGTGTCTTCAGTGCTGTCACTGTGCACTGGGGGCGTGCTGCTTACAGAAAGTGTCTGAAAGAGGCTTTAAAGGGATGTTAAAGACAGGAAGACTGGCTGGAATGGTGCAGAGTGTTAGAGTTTGGGAGTTAGGTATAGAAAACCAGAAAAGAAAGTGAAACACAGAGATGCTCAACCTTTTGCACCTGTGCATGAAGATCCTTCTGGCCTTGATTCAAACTGGAGCTGAAACCTTCATATGGTGCAGAAATTTGCCAACACAAGCAGCATCCGTTCATCATTTTGATAATCGGCATCAAAGATGATGGCAACCATTGACATTTTACAGCCGAGACGCTGATGTAACAGTCAAATTTCCAAAACATCTTGAATCTTTATCTGCTCCGTCCATCTGCCTCTTGAGTCATCTCAGCCTCACCTCACACAGCTGTGCAAGTGGAGGAAAGTTCTAACGTTGCCAGCAAGCGCCGCGATTAGAACCCGAGACAGGAAAATGTTGTGCAATATTCAGGCTTTCAAGTGGCGATGTGCTGATGTTTCACCATTACGTAGAAAGAGGACAAAAACAGGACACACACGTATGCACATGGTGTTTGCGTTGCAACATGCACAAACTGTTCTCTGCGCGGGTGCCAAAGCTTGCTAATTTCTGCCAACGGTGCAGATTGAATCTCAAGTTAGGCCAACATGAGATGGTGGTGTGATACTTTCCGTTTCTTGCTGTGTGGGAGAGAAATAGATATCTTTTTTAAAAGAGAATAATTAAACATCAAGGAAATGAGAAGATGGAGGGAGTGAAAGAGAAAAAGGGAGGAGAGATGGTGATCGCTGCACCAGGAGGAAGCTGGGTCTGATGCCTCTCCATGCAGCTGTTCCCAAACACCCACACTCTTCCTGTTGGAGTGTGTGCATCTGAGCAAGAGCAAAAAAAAAAAAATACAATTTGGTATAAAGATTTGATGTTTTATACCCATATATGCAAAGACAAAGCTGTGTTGTTCCTACCAAATAGAAGTTATGACTTTATGCCAGATAAATCTTAAATTTCACACTTTTTTCAGAGATAAAGCCTGAATTTCTATATAAAGCAGTGCAATTTTTGCACCTTACAAACAAAGCATGAGGCATCCTTCAGAAAACGCGCCTTTCTTCGGCCCGACCGAGGTCTTCTGTTTCTTCAAACAATAGCTGGCCTCAAAAAACATCCGCTGGTGGAAAATTTGGCCTGTCACTCAGTGAATGGAAAGGTTTGAGGTGAGAGTGTGGCCACACTGAGGTGTGAGCAGGGTGTATGATTGGGTATCCGTCGACTGCGTATGTGTGGCAGTCTTTCTAAGTTTCGAACACAAAGTGATGGGGAGACGTCATTTGTGGGCTGCATTAATGCTGCAGCTAACCAGTGGGTTTGTTGCACCATTGTTCCCACTGACCTCTGAAAGTTGCCTCCAAATGGCTGTTTTCACATTTTTTTGCATAATGTTAATTAATGTACTTTTTTAATATGTTTGATCAATAAATTAGGATTTAAAATAAAGTTGGAGAACGTCATTAATTCAGAAAAATTATCAATAAAAAGGCTTAAATATGTTAAACATTGTGCATTCTTAATAACCAGGTTTGTGGTATACAATAAAGTATTTCCAGCCAATAATAAGTTAAAGGTAATTCCTAATTTAGTTTTGAAGTCATAAGACCAGCTTCAGCTGCTTGTAAGAGAGAAGGCTTTGTTTTTTACTAACATGAAGTGAAGATTTTTAGTGATAAAGAAACAACTGTTGTTTGTCTAAGCATGTGAAGATCTAGCTGGTAGATAAAAAGTTGAACAGAAACTGAGTAACAGCGTTGTGTAGTGGGACTTTTTTAACATGACGCTGAAGCTGGACACAGACATGTATGTATCTGCTTCACGCCACACATGTTCAGTACTAAAAGGTGTGATTGGCTGTTATATTGGGCCAAGCTTAGATCTGGCCTCTTTTCTGCTGCTGCTGTACCCAAATTTAAAACACTCTATCATTTATTTATTAAAGCAGGACATTGTTTTAAATGGATGCAGTTTAAATTTTCTATTCAGTTTATTTATATAGCACCAATTCACAACACATCATTTTGAGGCACTTTAGAGAGACAATTCAACCAGATCTTACTGTCAAACTGATTCAAAGTTTTCTTTGAAGGTAAGGAAAACCAGTTGATTGCATTGACTCACGACTCCAAGGCAACCCCTCAAACCAAGCATGCTTGTAGCGACAGTGGA